ATTGTGTTAAGTTGACTGTACACTGTTGTAGTGGCTGAGCATTGTGTTAAGTTGACTGTACACTGTTGTAGTGTCTGGGCATTTTGTTAAGTTGACTGTACACTGTTGTAGTGCCTGGGCATTGTGTTAAGTTGACTGTACACTGTTGTAGTGCCTGGGCATTGTGTTAAGTTGACTGTACACTGTTGTAGTGTCTGGGCATTTTGTTAAGTTGACTGTACACTGTTGTAGTGTCTGGGCATTTTGTTAAGTTGACTGTACACTGTTGTAGTGCCTGGGCATTGTGTTAAGTTGACTGTACACTGTTGTAGTGTCTGGGCATTTTGTTAAGTTGACTGTACACTGTTGTAGTGCCTGGGCATTGTGTTAAGTTGACTGTACACTGTTGTAGTGTCTGGGCATTTTGTTAAGTTGACTGTACACTGTTGTAGTGCCTGGGCATTTGTGTTAAGTTGACTGTACACTGTTGTAGTGTCTGGGCATTTTGTTAAGTTGACTGTACACTGTTGTAGTGCCTGGGCATTTTGTTAAGTTGACTGTACACTATTGTAGTGCCTGGGCATTTTTGTTAAGTTGACTGTACACTGTTGTAGTGTCTGGGCATTTTGTTAAGTTGACTGTACACTGTTGTAGTGTCTGGGCATTTTGTTAAGTTGACTGTACACTGTTGTAGTGCCTGGGCATTGTGTTAAGTTGACTGTACACTGTTGTAGTGTCTGGGCATTTTGTTAAGTTGACTGTACACTGTTGTAGTGCCTGGGCATTGTGTTTAAGTTGACTGTACACTGTTGTAGTGTCTGGGCATTTTGTTAAGTTGACTGTACACTGTTGTAGTGCCTGGCATTTTGTTAAGTTGACTGTACACTGTTGTAGTGCCTGGGCATTTTGTTAAGTTGACTGTACACTGTTGTAGTGTCTGGGCATTTTGTTAAGTTGACTGTACACTGTTGTAGTGTCTGGGCATTTTGTTAAGTTGACTGTACACTGTTGTAGTGCCTGGGCATTGTGTTAAGTTGACTGTACACTGTTGTAGTGTCTGGGCATTTTGTTAAGTTGACTGTACACTGTTGTAGTGCCTGGGCATTTTGTTAAGTTGACTGTACACTGTTGTAGTGCCTGGGCATTTTGTTAAGTTGACTGTACACTGTTGTAGTGTCTGGGCATTTTGTTAAGTTGACTGTACACTGTTGTAGTGTCTGGGCATTTTGTTAAGTTGACTGTACACTGTTGTAGTGCCTGGGCATTGTGTTAAGTTGACTGTACACTGTTGTAGTGTCTGGGCATTTTGTTAAGTTGACTGTACACTGTTGTAGTGCCTGGGCATTTTGTTAAGTTGACTGTACACTGTTGTAGTGCCTGGGCATTTTGTTAAGTTGACTGTACACTGTTGTAGTGTCTGGGCATTTTGTTAAGTTGACTGTACACTGTTGTAGTGCCTGGGCATTTTGTTAAGTTGACTGTACACTGTTGTAGTGCCTGGGCATTTTGTTAAGTTGACTGTACACTGTTGTAGTGTCTGGGCATTTTGTTAAGTTGACTGTACACTGTTGTAGTGCTGGGCATTTTGTTAAGTTGACTGTACACTGTTGTAGTGTCTGGGCATTTTGTTAAGTTGACTGTACACTGTTGTAGTGTCTGGGCATTTTGTTAAGTTGACTGTACACTGTTGTAGTGCCTGGGCATTTTGTTAAGTTGACTGTACACTGTTGTAGTGTCTGGGCATTTTGTTAAGTTGACTGTACACTGTTGTAGTGTCTGGGCATTTTGTTAAGTTGACTGTACACTGTTGTAGTGCCTGGGCATTTTGTTAAGTTTGACTGTACACTGTTGTAGTGCCTGGGCATTTTGTTAAGTTGACTGTACACTGTTGTAGTGTCTGGGCATTTTGTTAAGTTGACTGTACACTGTTGTAGTGCCTGGGCATTTTGTTAAGTTGACTGTACACTGTTGTAGTGTCTGGGCATTTTGTTAAGTTGACTGTACACTGTTGTAGTGTCTGGGCATTTTGTTAAGTTGACTGTACACTGTTGTAGTGCCTGGGCATTTTGTTAAGTTGACTGTACACTGTTGTAGTGCCTGGGCATTTTGTTAAGTTGACTGTACACTGTTGTAGTGTCTGGGCATTTTGTTAAGTTGACTGTACACTGTTGTAGTGCCTGGGCATTTTGTTAAGTTGACTGTACACTGTTGTAGTGCCTGGGCATTTTGTTAAGTTGACTGTACACTGTTGTAGTGTCTGGGCATTTTGTTAAGTTGACTGTACACTGTTGTAGTGCCTGGGCATTTTGTTAAGTTGACTGTACACTGTTGTAGTGCCTGGGCATTTTGTTAAGTTGACTGTACACTGTTGTAGTGCCTGGGCATTTTGTTAAGTTGACTGTACACTGTTGTAGTGCCTGGGCATTTTGTTAAGTTGACTGTACACTGTTGTAGTGCCTGGGCATTTTGTTAAGTTGACTGTACACTGTTGTAGTGCCTGGGCATTTTGTTAAGTTGACTGTACACTGTTGTAGTGCCTGGGCATTTTCTTAAGTTGACTGTACACTGTTGTAGTGCCTGGGCATTTTGTTAAGTTGACTGTACACTGTTGTAGTGCCTGGGCATTTTGTTAAGTTGACTGTACACTGTTGTAGTGGCTGGGCATTGTGTAAGTTGACTGTACACTGTTGTAGTGCCTGGGCATTGGTAAGTTACTGTGATCTTTCTTTTTGTTGTTGAGTTCTTTTTGTGTTCTTTTTCTTTTGCTTTGTTGTTGGGCCTTGTTTTTATACTTGTTATTCTGATGCTGTTTTTGTTTCATTTTTATTGTCCCCATAGTTTTTGTTGTGCGTTTAGTTTTGGTTGTGCTCTTGTTTTTGTTATGAACTTTGTTTTTGTTTTGGTTATGCACTTTGTTTTGGTTGTGCACATTGTTTTGGTTGTGCACATTGTTTTGGTTGTGCACATTGTTTTGGTTGTGCACATTGTTTTGGTTGTGCACTTTGTTTGGGTTGTGCATATTGTTTGGGTTGTGCACTTTGTTTTGGTTGTGCACTTTGTTTGGGTTGTGCATATTGTTTGGGTTATGCATATTGTTTGGGTTGTGCACTTTGTTTTGGTTGTGCACATTGTTTTGGTTGTGCACTTTGTTTGGGTTGTGCATATTGTTTGGGTTGTGCACTTTGTTTTGGTTGTGCACTTTGTTTGGGTTGTGCACATTGTTTGGGTTGTGCACATTGTTTGGGTTGTGCACATTGTTTGGGTTGTGCACATTGTTTGGGTTGTGCACATTGTTTGGGTTGTGCACTTTGTTTGGGTTGTGCACATTGTTTTGGTTGTGCACATTGTTGGGTTGTGCACTTTGTTTTGGTTGTGCACTTTGTTTTGGTTGTGCACTTTGTTTGGGTTGTGCACTTTTAGTTGTGCACTTTGTTTTGGTTGTGCACTTTGTTGTGTTTATTGACTTTGTTTTGGTTGTGCACTTTGTTTGGGTTCCTTACTGCTGCTGCTGCTTCTGTTGTGTGCAATAGTTTTAGTTAATAAAGAACACATTATTTCCACGACCTCAAACCAGGAAAATATAATTGCGCCTGGAGGGTCCTAGAGGGACTGGTACCGAGCTTGCACACGAAAATCACTCACTGCGAAGGCAGGGGACTTGGCAGACGATGCACCATCCCCCCAATGAAAAGCAGGGGTGTCACTAGCACGTTAAGAGACCATACAGTGGGTGTCAGGGGCCCGAGACTGTTCAACTGCCTCCCAGAACACATGGGGGGGATTGCCAACAGACCCCTGGCAGTCTTCAAGCTGGCACTGGACAAGCACCTAAAGTCGGTTCCTGATCAGCCGGGCTGTGGCTCGTACGTTGGTTTGCGTGCAGCCAGCAGCAACAGCCTGGTTGATCAGGGGCTGATCCACCAGGAGGCCTGGTCACAGACCGGGCCGCGGGGGCGTTGACCCCCGAAACTCTCTCCAGGTAAACTCCAGGTACTAGAAGTGATGTTTCTGAAGTGCAGTGTCATAATTGAAGTTAGTTTATACGTATATGTTTGGGTCCAAGGAGTGCAAGGGATATCACTGATGTTACTAACTCATTGGTTGGTAGAAGTTGTCTCCGATATTTTCCCACTGGTAAACGAGGCCTGGTCACAGACTGGGCTCTGGGGGCATTGACCCCCAATACCCTCTCCAGGTATACTGGTGAAGTTTCCCAAACATAATTAAGCAACTCTATCAGCGAACACACACCTAATATAAGTTTGACTTAAACCTAACTTATTCGGTTGGGTAACTTGTGGTTATATTTGTAACAACTACCAAACTACTGCTTGGATAATTTGCTAATGTTGATGATTTGAAAAGTCTGTGACTTAGCTAGACTCTGAGAGGAAAACACCTAATGAGGACTAATTTTATTTCTATGTTCCTTGATATAATTTTTATATTTTCATGAAGTGCTAAGTATGTATTGTGTGAGTAATTAAGCACAGGTAGTAGTGTGTTGTTCTCATTGTACTAGTCATGAGACAGTCATAGCCTTACATGGTACAAATTTTAGAAAATTATAAGATATAAAAAATAGTGAAGATGGTCACCATAAGCATAGTTCTATTCTTGTAGCTACACATAGGTAATTACAATAAATCTTCCATATAATGAAAGTTAGGGGGAAGCAGATGATTGATAATGGTAGTATGTCTGGATAGAGGAGAGATTTTGCTTTGGTTGAATTAATAACAGACAATTTTGTTAACCAACAGCATTTGTCAATTGTTTCCAAATTGATTCACCCAGTGGATTTTGTTCCGTATTTCTGAAGTCGTTATATGGAGAGTTTATTGTACCAGTAGTTTACTGAAATTGAAAAGTGAGTTTAAGTTCTGTTACAACAGATTAGAGATCGACTTGTGATATTAACTGAGGAAAGTAAAGTTTGCTCAGATACTGCATTAACAGTTGGTACATACAGCAGTTAACAAGTGTAACCAAGAACTAGCACCAGGGTGTTGCCATTGCAGTGGCGGTCAGAGCTGGAAGAGATCCTGGAAGTGGCTGTGGTGGACAGTGAACCCTGGGTGGCCATGTTGGCGGAGATCATGCGAACATGTCCGTCCTCTGGCAACCTCAACCTGGACATCCGGTAAGGCCTGGCTCTCAAGCCTATCATAAGCTGTATTATGTTTTCTCTTGGTCCTCTAAAATTTATCATGTTGTTCTTGTGCATTTACATTTAGGTAATGTTGTATTGCCAGTATGTTTTTGGTAGAGTAATTTTTCTGTCTGTATAGAAAATCTGTTGAATGCTTACGCTGTCCATACCCCTCAAATTGAAAGCCCAATTTTTGTGTCTTCAGGTTTGAAAAAAAAAAAATAAAAAAATATTTTATCTTCTAAAATGGTAGCGAATCTTTTTCTGAAGTGAAAGACACTAAAAACTCCAAATTTGATATACAGAATTAAGCAAGCACTCTATGTAACAGCAACTTTGCACATTTTGAGGCCTATTTTCATCCTTTTCTTGACTGTTTTATTAGTTTGTCTTTATGCTATCCATTTATTGCAAGAAACTACCCATTTATCCATGGGAAATTGTTCATTTGGCAAATTTTACACTATATTCAACAAATTCCAGTTTAAAACAGAGCTCAGGACAAACACTGCAGGTATTCTAGCCACAAAGGGGACCTTTTCTCTGTTCACTAATGTCCCCAGGCCTCTTCTTTATAGCGCACTCCATTATGAATTTTTTTTTATTGAAAATAGATTTTTCCCTATTTTTGTGACTAATAAACCATAACCAAGAATGCTTGGACATGGTTTAGGCCATCCTAAAAATTGAAACAGGTCTATTAAAATCCCATAAAACACGGGGGAGGGGTAGTGGGTCTTGTACCCTTCCCCAGGAAAATCGCCTAAAATCCACCATCACCAGCATGTTCTGTTCTGTTTATGGTCTCACACGAAATAGCCAATACAACCACAAAAACCATCTCAAGCAATGCCGCAGATTAACTTTATAACAAAAGTGCAAAGTCAGATGTTAGCTCTTCCCAAATATGCACTGTTGAGTTTTTTTTTTTTTTTTTTTTTTTTTTTTTTTGTAAGGTACACACACCCACTACACAAAGTCATTCTCGTGTCTAGGCCAAAATTTGCAGCTCGGCAAATTTGAGGGCATTTAATTATTATGTGCACTAGTACATCATGGAAACTGATGACTGTTGCATACTAAAATGTTATGAACACTGATCACTGTCACATACTGTACTAGTTTGTGATGGACAGCTTGAGGGTGAAGGAGAATAAAAGTTTGCTATGGTGAATCTCTCTTAATTTGGGTCACCCTGTCCTGGTGGGAATTAGTTCATTGGTCATTGCAGCTACATTGAAGTATGCATTCATTAATCAATGTGAGTACATTGATTGCTATGAATACATTGATCAGTGAGTATGTAAGTGTAATTACCAATATAAGTACATTGATCAGCTTGAGTACATTGTTGTAAGGCAAGCTTCCCCTTGGTCCCATTTATTTCCCCCATTCATTTCATTAACCCTTAATCAACATTTCAGTTTATTTCATCATTCCTTTCCTTCCGGCTGTGGACGAGTTTGCCATAATTCATTTGCCCCTAACTACCTGTTCTTTGTTTTTGTTCTTATTAATGTTATTGTTTGCTGTGAGGTGAAGCAAAAGTTTATATGGGGTGGATGTAAGTTGAGGTGGGAGTGGTGTATGTGGTTTGGTGCTCTTGAGAGTGATGTGAAGTAGTATTTGTCAGTTGGAATGTTGTGTCTAGGTTGCTATAGTGTATGTGTGCATGCATGCATGCATGTGTGTGTGTGTATGTGTACTCACCTAATTGTACTCTCTTAATTGTGGTTGCAGGGGTCTAGACTCAGCTCTTCACTGATCGCTACTAGATCCTCTCTCTGCTCCCTTAGCTTTGTCATACCTCATCTTAAAGCTATGTATGGTTCCTGCCTCCATTACATCACTTGCTAGGCTATTCCACTTCCTGATGACTCTATGACTGAAGAAATACACTTCCTTACATCCCTCTGACTCGTCTTCAGCTTCCAATTGTGACCCCTTGTTTCTGTGTCCCCTCTCTGGAACATCCTGTCTCTGTCCACTTTATCTATTCCATGCAGTATTTTGTGTGTCGTTATCATGTCTCCCCTGACCCTCCTGTCCTCCAGTGTCGTCAGTCCGATTTCCCTCAACCTTTCTTTATAGGAACTAGCCTTATTGCAAACCTTTGTACTTTCGTTCATTTCTTGACGTGCTTGACTAGGTGTGGGTTCCAAATTGGTGCTGCATATTCCAGTATGGGCCTGACGTACACAGTGTACAATGTCTTGAACGATTCCTTACTAAAGTATCGGAACTCTATTCTCAGGTTTGCCAGGCGCCCATATGCTGCAGCAGTTATCTGTTTGGTGTGTGCCTCTGGAGACGTGCTCGGTGTTATAGTCACCCCAAGATCTTTCTCCTTGAGTGAGGTTGGCAGTCTTTGTCCACCTAGCGTATACTCTGTCTGCGGTCTTCTTTGCCCTTCCCCAACCTTCATGACTTTGCATTTGGCTGGGTTGAATTCGAGAAGCCAGTTGCTGGACCACGTGTCCAGCCTCTCCAGTTCTCTTTGTAGTTCTGCCTGATCCTCATCTGATTTAATTCTTCTCATTAACTTCACATCATCTGCAAACAGGGACACTTCAGAGTCTATCCCTTCCATCATGTCATTCACATATATCAAAAATAGCACTGGTCCCAGGACTGACCCCTGTGGGACCCTGGTCGTCACAGGCACCCACTGTGATACCTCATCACGTACCATAACTCATTGTTGCCTCCCTGTCACGTATTCTCTGATCCATTGCAGTGCCTTTCCTGTTATACACGCCTGATCCTCCAGCTTCTGCACTAATCTCTTGTGAGGAACTGTGTCGAAGGCCTTCCTGCAGTCCAGGAAAATGCAATCAACCTACCCCTCTCTTGTGTCTTACTGCTGTTACCTTGTCATAAAACTCCAGAAGGTTTGTGACACAGGATTTGCCTTCCATGAATCCATGCTGGTTGTCGTTTATAATCTTTTACTGTTCCAGGTGCTCCACCACTCTCCTGATAATCTTCTCTGTGACTTTGCATACTATACACGTCAGAGACACTGGTCTGTAGTTTAGTGCCTCGTTTCTGTCTCCTTTCTTAAAAATGGGGACTACATTTGCTGTCTTCCATACCTCTGGTAGTTGCCCAGTTTCAAGGGATGTACAGTGGACTCCCGGTTCGCGATGCTATCGGTATCCGATAAATCCGGTAACCGATGCATTATATCGCAGAAAATTTGCCTCGCTTCCTGATACAAAACCCGGTATGCGATGTGGTTCGTACGAGACGTGTCCATGTGTGGCCTGAACTGCCCCGTGTGTGCCAGTGTTTACAAGCTAGCCAGTGTGCGCGCATCTAAGGATACATTTGGTACATTCCATATTATCCATATTATCACTGTTTTTTGGTGCCTGTTTTTGCAAAATAAGTCACCATGGGCCCCAAGAAAGCTCCCAGTGCCAACCCTTCGAGACCAAGGGTGCTAATGACTGTTGAAATGAAGAAAGAGATAATTGCAAAGTACGAAAGTGGAGTGCGTGTGTCGGAGCTGGTCAGGTTGTATAGTAAACCCCAATCAACCATCTCTACTATAGTGAGCAAGAAAACGGCAATAAAGGAAGCTGTTCTTGCAAAAGGTGCAACTGTGATTACGAAACAGCGACCGCAAGTGTTAGAAAATGTTGAGAGACTGTTATTGGTGTGGATAAATGAAAAACAGATAGCAGGAGATAGCATCTCTCAAGCAATCATTTGTGAAAAGGCTAGGCAGTTGCATGACGATTTGGTAAAAAAATTGCCTACAACTAGTGGTGATGTGAGTGAATTTAAGGCCAGCAAAGGTTGGTTTGAAAGATTTAAGAATCGTAGTGGCATACATAGTGTGATTAGGCATGGTGAGGCTGCCAGTTATGTTGTGCGACAGAAGTCCAGTGACTCTCAAGCTGGTCCTAGTGGCATTAAAAGAAGAAGGGAAGTAACCCCGGAAAAGGACTTGCTACCTCAAGTCCTAATGGAGGGGGATTCCCCTTCTAAATGCTAACACCATCCACACACTCCCCTCCTCCCATCCCATCAACCATCACCAGATCTTCATTAAAGGTAAGTGTCAATTATTCTTTCGTTATTTATTGTTATTTATTGTTATTGTAATTACTATTTTATTGCATTAAACTTAATATTTCATGTGGTAAAAGTTTTTTTTTTTCATACTTTTGGGTGTCTTGCACGGATTAATTTGATTTCCATTATTTCTTATGGGGAAAATTGATTCGCTTTCCGATATTTTTGGTTTACGATGAGCTCTCAGGAACGGATTAGTATCGCGAACCGGGGGTCCACTGTATTGAAGGTTGTGGTTAGTGGCATGCACAGCGTCTCTGCTCCTTCTCTAATGACTCACGGGGAGATGTTGTCCGGTCCCATTGCTTTTAACCCTTTCAGGGTCCACAGGCCCTCTCAGAGACTTGTTCTCAGGGTCCCCCAAATTTAAAAAAAAAAAAAAAATTATTTTTGCTTATGAAAAGATAGTTTTTTTTTTCTAAACATTATAGGGTAAACAAAAATTTTTTACCATCAATACGTACCGAGATATGGAGGCTTGAAGTGGACACAAAATGCCCGGTATATGTTATCGCTGACTGCCGTCACCTGGTATTATTTTTGTTTTTAGGTACTATTTTCTATTATTTTTTAATTTTTTTTTCCAAGTAACTTTTATGGCCTGTGAGACCAATATTAGCACTATTTTATAATTTTTTCTCTATTACACAATAACTCCACAAACACTGTTGTCCTTATATTGTTTATGATTGTTGTTTACACACACAAACAATAAAAAATGTTGTTTATTACTATTTTTCTATATTTTATATACACATATACAGTCACAGGGAATGTTTCTAGAAGTTCTGCAACCTGTGGAAGTCTTTGAAACATGGTGTCATGCACAGTGGTGTTATACACTCCTCACACATAAAACGAGTGTCTCTGCGTTGTTGTGGACGTTTTTTGTATGTGCACAGACGTAA